ACAAGATTGGGTTGATCCAGCACCCAGTCTCACCCTAACAGGGGAAGTAGACAAATTTTCCTATCTGGGTAGCTATATCTCACCTGACGGACGCATCACGGATGAAGTATCGGCGCGCATACAAAAGGCTCAATTGGCATTTGCCAACTTGATACATTTGTGGTGCCGTCGCGACATCCGGTTGTCTCTGAAGGGTCGAGTGTATGCTGCAGCAGTTCCGCCAGTTCTGCTCTACGGTGCAGAGACTTGGCCACTAAAGGAACAGGATAGAAATAGATTGTCAGTGTTCGAACACCGCTGTCTACGTAGCATTGCACGTGTCTGGTGGGGTAACCGGACTAGCAATACTGAGGTTGGGCGTAGAGTTTTAGGCAGTCGCGGTCGTCCACTAGAGCAAGTGATCGACCTCTATAGATTACGCTGGTTGGGACATGTGTTACGTATGTCGCCAGAGAGGTTGCCGCGGCGAACGATGTTTGTCAAGGCTGGCAGCGATTGGAATAAGATAAGTGGTGGTCAAACTAAGACCTGACATGAGGATGTGCAAACCCTAACCAGGAGACTAGGTCACATAGGCCCCGTTAGGCTCCCTGGCTGGGGACCACGGGATGATCGTAACCGACGGTTAGAGACACTAAGTGATATGGCTGGGTGTCGCGAAAAGTGGCGCTCGTGCATCCACTCGTTATTCTCCTAACACCACTCTATATGAATTCCCCATCTTCCGCTTGAATTTGCTTCAACATTCCAATCCTCATCTTGCTCTTTTATCCAAATGGGCAACCAAAACCAGCGCACGAAAGTGCATGGTTAATGGTTGCAAAATGTGAAACTGTCTCGGCCATTCGTCTTCCTCCAACGCTTACACGTTCATTCCGTAAACAGACATCTAACAATCCTTATCAGATTTCAGTTCCCATGTAGTACTTTCCTCCTTCTAAGTCCTTTTTTCTCCCGAACTGCATTATGATGGAACAACCACTTTTTCTTTCCCTCAACTCAAAACTTTACACTGTTTAAACGCAGAGTCAATGAAATGGATCTTACGTGAATTTCCCCTACTTTGCCTTTTGCATTATACTTATTTGTCTTTGGGGTTTCCCCTTTCATAGTATTTGACAGTGTGAAGAAAAAATCCATCGACAGAATATTTCCGCGTAAGTTGGTACGAACAAAACAATGCAAATGGATGGGCTGCAGCGAAGTAGATCACCCTGTATATGGACGTGACTTAGAGGAAAATACCATCAAAATGGCATTTGGATGCGTCCGCATCACCGAATAGGACATCAGCTGCACGTGCCCAGCCTCAAAGTGTTGATAGTGCATTGGTTTAGTCCCTGTCTACGATGTTTTGGAACCTATGGCCCGAGGGTCGATCCGTGCCATCGCTACACCACTGGTGATACGCAACTTTGCTGTCTTCTGGTTCAATACCACGCCTAACCTAGCGGAGCCTTACGGGATTCACCACCCCAAGTAGATGTTCAACACTGAGTAGCCGGTCTTCGCCAATGTGAGGTTTACCCGGCCTGTTGTCGATCACATAAAAATGTCTAATAAAAAAAGGTTTCGAGGTTTCAACCACAGACATTGTTTAAATAAACCGGCCGAGCAGAAAGATAAAAACCAGTACATCAGAAAAATGTATTGTTTAAAACGTACACTGACTAGTCACGCCACCCACGCTTATGTACAAGATGTTTGGGCTAGACAACAGTTATGGGCAACAAAATCACGAAGCTATGTACAATGAAAAAGAAACAAGTTGATCTCGCCGCCCAATTCAAAATAATGGTTGTGGTGGTGATAGTATTAAACACTACATCGTGGTGTTCGTATGTACATAGAAGGCACAATAATCGTGCATTAACGAAATAGTGCATATCGGAAGCAATAAAAAAGCGATCACAGCCAACCGCCGCTCAATTTCGTATCACATAAGTCGCAACAACAGTGGAAGCGATAAAACGCCAATGTAAGACGAACGTGAATAAACACGAGCACAATATGATCTACAAGTAACTGATCTACACAGGGACAAGTAAGGATAGAAAGGGGAAAACTCAAACCAGTCTTCGTGAAAATTTTCGTGAATAAAGGATGTGACACGGTCTGAAAGCATTTCCTAGATAAATCCGAGTGAATAAATGATTCCGGGACGAAAACCATCAGGTATATAGCAAACATGTGAATAGATTTGCTCAACATATCTCTCTAGCAGGAAAACCTTGGGTGAGTTGCCTGGAAAATGGCCTGGTATAATGACCATAAACAGGATTTCGATCCACATTGTTCAATAAAACCGATGGATCATTTTGCAATCGCATACACGGGTAAACTGACCTTTCATTTAGACAAATGAGAGAAATGAATAAGCTTGGCTAGACGATATGAACATGTGATGGTTAAGCCACAGCGACTGCGTGACTCAGTCATACAAATGCCTCGNTAACAAGTTCGAGAAGTGAAGTAAATGCAATCAACAGTTTGGTTCAAACAGTGGTCACCACAACCAGAAGATGAGGCGTAGAATATTGCGTAAGTTGGCGCAACAGGTTGGGTGCACACCCATCCAGCTGACAACGGGAGAACTCACAAGGAGGAAAAATGTGTATCACGAAAAGATTCTGAAAAAGAAAACAAATGTTCAGCAGATTTTATTGAGCGACGCCGTGGCATTTTACGAAAGAATTTCGATTAAACAATTGTACTTCAGTTAGTCATTAGAAAATTTGTTGAGGTGATAGACAAAGGAAAAACGACTAGAGTGACGTAATAATTATACATGATATAAAATATAATATAATAATTATAACATGATTCTACTTGCACAGATGGCATCACGAAGGTAAATACAAGAGTTCGTGCCAAAGAAGTTCAACCTACAGGGAAACAGGGCTGTTCGAGATATGTATTTTGGTTTATTCACCTCTTATGAAGGTTTTTGAGTGCATCATCTGGAGTGAATAGCAGACACTAGTGATTAAAAGGTCTACATCATCTGCTGCTCATCACACAGAAAGGTGTACCTCAGAAAAACATTGACCTACCGAGGTCTCTGAACTAGTATACCTCTAATAGTCACGTTCTACAATGAGTCAAGAAAATCGTTCGAAAACAGCGGCGGTGCCTTATTCTACCACTTCTGTTCAACTTCGTTGCAGGCGAACGCAAAAATTAAATCTATTCTAATGGACACAGCTGACTAGTTGGAGCAGATGATATCCAAAAGATAGCAACCAAAAACGGAAAGTTGCATGAACTGAATTAAATGATAAATACATATGAAAGAGTACGAGATCCTCTACATGAAACAACCATACGTTTGAAATAAAAAGTACTCATTGATGCTTGGCTATTTCTGAAGACCACTAGCGCCGCTTTATATTCCATGAAACTAGCGAAGAACTCACTTGTTGAGTGGAGGGGTGACAAACATTTATAATACCCGCAGCACATTTGTCTTCCATATATTTGAT